CTTGCTTATTTATGTATACAACCAATGGGAGATATTATCATTGTCATCACATCATTACATACACAAAACAGTAAAGTGATAAACTGTTTCTTAAAACTAGATATATATGCATACATATACATGCATGCATGCATACATGTATACATACATAAATGCACACAAGAGTTACTAGTAAATGGTTAGCAACCAGATTTAAAAGAATCTACTCAAGGCACATGGATGTGTCTCTAATAAATACATACATATCTCACATGTATATTGCATGTATACATACGTATATATGCATATAAGCAGCTATATATATGAATGTATATGTATAGGGAAGATTCCTTTCCTTTCTCTGAGCCCTTTGAAATCTGTTCCCCCAAATCAAAGCTATGTACAAGGCTATATGCAAGGCTGTACACGAGGCCCAGACTAGGCCATACTCAGCCCAGGTTGAATCTCCTCTATTACAAACTCTAAGATGGAATGGTCAATTTTCCCCAAAGTTTGCATCATTTCAGCCTAAGCAACTAGGTCTTCCATGTTGGCAAAAAGCAGTCCCAAGATAAAATATCCCTTTTTGTCACCTCTACCTTTTGAAAGATGAAATTGTTATTAAGTCAAATAAAGAAGTGATTAGCTGATCTGCCTTTATTACACCAAGAACTCTAACAGATGTCTGGATAATTAATATTCCCACTCCCTGCTGGCACTACCCACTGTTAGGCTCATAATCTGTATCCTGAACTTCCCACTTATTTCCATGCTAAGTGATTCTCAGCTTAGTCTGATGACAGTATTGCTTCTTTCTCTATCTATCGACCTACATGTGCCTTCACTCTGTCTCGTAGATTTTGTCTTGTATCTTCAATTCCTTATGTATGTATATCTGTACTCCATAATACCCCACCTTTCCTTTTTCTTTTGAATAGGCATAAACTTTCAGAGCCGCATTCCAGTCAAAGGTCCAACTTTCCAAGTTTCAGTGACATCTATCACAAAATTTTCCATTTTGGGTTAAGATCTTTAGTTTAACTTACTTGTTACCAATATACATACAAAAACAAAATAACCAAGTTAGTCACTGTTAGAGATTCTTTAGGATCAGATTTGGAAGTAAAGCTGTAAATACTACCCACAACTTAGAAGACCTGAATTTAGGCAGGTAAGTGTGGTCTATTTATAACGGTGGTAATCATAAACAAGAATAATTTCATAGCATCCTCCTCTCCCACTCATGTGCTACTGAATGTATCTAGAGGAAATTATGAAACTAGGCTCACTGCTCTATTAAAAATGAATGCTAGTTAATCTTAATTGGACTGCCTACTTTAAGAAGTCCTTATTCACTGTCTTATTCACCATAGCATCTGTTTCAAATTATCTCTTTGCTCCTGCCTCCCATCTCACCTTGAGCACCCTCTCCTCCCCTGTTATTAGATGAAGAGCTTGCGTCATACTTGACTGAATATAACCAGCACTCCCTCTTTTCCTGCCCTTGTCCTCTTCATCTAACATTACTGACATCATCCCCCTATCACTTCCTTCATGGTGGTCTCTGATGATGAGTTGGTCTTTCTGCTTGTCAAGGTCAAACCTTCTAAATGCTCCCTCCACCTCACCACTTCTTATCTTCTCCACCAAACTTCCCCCACTATCAACCTCACTTTCTCTCTTATCAATCTCCTACCTACTGGCTCCTCTTATATGCTGAGGTCTTCCTCATCCTCAAAAACCTCTCTCAAGAGCCTACCATGCCCAGTAGCTAGTAGCTATCATCCTATATTCCTCTTGCCCTTGGAATGCCTTGAAAAGACTTCTACATTCAGGGTCTCCATTTCTTCTCTCACTTCCTTCCAAAACCCTCTGTAATCTGGCTTTTGACTTCATCAGTTGGTTGAGACTTTTTTTTTTCTGAAGCCACCACAGATGTGTTTATTAACAAATAGATTTTTCCTCAATCCTCAACCTTCTTGACTTCTTGACAGCAAAACTCTACCACACACCTCTTCCAGTAAAGATCTAAAAAAGACATCAGGTCAAATATGAATATAGAAATCCAAGAAAAAATTTGGTTATTTTTTAGCCCAGGTCAGCATAGGGAGATAGAGAGGTCAGAGGACACTAGAGAATAGATCTGGCCGGAGACATGTATCATTTTAGCATACAAGAACTGAAAGAGGACCGAAGCTATGCCCAAAAGCAAGAGTTCCCAGCCAGACTCATAACAAGGCATAACTGGCAGGTCAGTTACTTATGACTCAGTTCTGGGTCACAAATCTAGAACATACTGAGAAGGAGATCTTTGTTGAAGAGTGTCATTTGACAGTGAGGATCAGTCTACCAGTACTCAGTATATGTACTGAGTGAGGAACAAATTCAGATATCAACAGTAGCTGTGTTTCTCTGATGCCAGGAGTGGAGCAGCATTTCAGTTTCAGCTTCTAGTTCAATATGAAATCAACAGTAAAATAACTATGACAGGAAACCCAGATTAAAGGAACCTGCACTTCTATCACTTTGAATCAGCAATGCTTTCCAGCTGGTTGATTATGATTGGGTCCAACAGTGGTCCACTGGAACATTCAACCAGGGACAAGACAAAAATAGTGTGCTGGAGACCTAAACCCAGGTCAGAAACTTATAGAGCTCACAGTAGGAGGGCAGTGATAAGGCTTTACACTGAATCAGAACATTTGGGAGCAAATGTGTTTCTTGTAAATAAAATATTGTAGGAGTGTGGTTTTTAATCTATTCTGCTATCCACTTCCATTCTATATTTCAGCTCATTCTATTCACATTTATATTTGTAATATTTAATTCTGCATTTTCCTCGATGCTATTTTTAACTTGTTTATCCCCCCCTTACTCTCCAACCTTTCCCTCCTCACAACTGTTTTACGTCTGATCATTGTTTCCCTCAATATATTTTCCCTTTTATCAGCACCTCCCTTTCTATTATCCCCATCCCTTTTTACTTCCTCATAGGGCAAGATTGATTTTTATATCCAACTAAGTGTGTATGGTATTCCCTCTTTGAAGCAATTTTGATGAGAATAAGGTTGAAGCTTTGCTGCACCCCTGCCCACATCCTCCCCTACATTTTAATAGCTCTTTCCTGACTCTTTTATGTGGAATAATTTAACCTATTCAATCTCTCCACCCCTTCTTCTTCCAGTGCAATTTTTTTCTTACCCCTGTATTTTCTTTATTTTGGGGTAACATTTTATAAAAGTCACCTTTTATCCACAACTTCTGTCTACATATACTCTAATTGCTCTTATAGTGATAAAGTTGTTAAGAGTTACAAATATCCTTAAACAGTTTGACATTATTGAATATCTTATGCTTTCTCTTTCTTGCGTCTTTTTTTCTTACTTATGTTTCCCTTGATTCCTGTATCTGGAGACCAATTTTTTTAATTCAGCTCTGGTCTTTTAATTAGAAATGCTGGAAAGTCCTCTATTTTGTTAAATAGCCATTTGTTTATCTGACAGTTTATATTCAATTTTGTTGGGTAGGTGATTCTTGGTTGTAATCCTAACTCTTTTGCTTTTGGTATATCATATTCCAAGCCCTCCAGTTCCTCAGTGTGGAAGCTGCCAAATCTTGTGCAATCCTTTCTATAGTTCCATGGTATTTTAATTGTTTTATTTTAGTTGCTTGCAATACTTTCTCCTTGATCTGTGAGCTCTAGAATTTGGCTACAATGTTCTTGGGAGTTTTTGTTTTGGGATCTCTTTCGGGGGTGATTGGTAGATTCGTTCAATTTCTATTTTGCCCCAAGGTTCTAATATATCAATGAAGTTTTCTTTGATATTTTCTTGAAAGATGTTTAAACTTTTTTTCTTTTCTTTTCTTCCTCTTTTTTTTTATCATGGCTTTTGAGTAGTCCAATAATTCTTAAATTATCTCTTCTGGATCTATTTTATAGGCTAGTTGATTTTTCAAAGAAAAGTTTTACATTTTCTTCTTTTTTTATTACTTTTTAAATTTTATTTTATCATATCTTGATTTCTTATAGATTCGTTATAGCTCCATTCCACTTGTTCATTTGTAATTTTTGAAGAATTATTATCTTCAGTGAGCTTTTGTACTTCCTTTTCCATTTGGCTAATTCTATTTTTGGGGAATTATTTTCCTTGGTAAATTTTTGTATATCTTTGTACATGTTATTGACTCTTTTTTCATGATTATCTTGCATTACTTGTTTCTTTTCCCAATTTTTCTCCTACTTCTCTAATTTGCTTTTAAAAATCCTTTTTAAACTCTTCCAGGTATTCTTCTTAGGCATGAAACAAAATTACATTTTTCTTTGAGGCTTTGCATGCAGCCATTTGACACTATTGTTCTCTTCTAAGTTTATGCCTTGATCCTCCCTATCACCATAATAACTTTTTATAGTCAAGCTCTTTTTTCATTTTTTGCTCATTTTTTCTACCTTTTTTGTGACTTGATATTTTTATGTGAAAGATGTGCTCTGGTCCTACACTCTCCCAAACTTTTTTGCTGGGGCTCTGGGTCTTACCGCTGGCTTTCGCTGTGCTGGCCCAAGAGGAGGGATATTGTTGCTGGTTTGCCCCAGGGGTGGGGCACTGCTGGTGGATTACTATGGAAACATAGTCTCTTAGCTACTGGCCCCAGGGGCATGGTCTCCATGTTGGCCAACCTTGGAGTGGGGTTTCACTACTAGTCAGCAATGGACTCAAGGCCTTACTTGTGGCTTGTGCTAGGGGTGGGGTCACTGGGGTAGGACTTTGCTGCACTGCACAAACTGCTCACTGGCTTAGGGAGCCTCTGCTTTGCAGAAGGGCAGGGCCTCCCTGGTGGATTGCCCCAGGCTCAGAGCCCTGCTGCAGGCCTCCTGCTTTGAGGATGATGGCTGCTACTGTTCTAGCTCCCCTCACAACAGAGTAGTCCATGAAATAAAACAAACAAAATAAAATCCTATATTTTCCATTAATGAGGAAGGAAAACAGAAGAATAACAGAGGATTCATGGTAAACACACAAATATTTTTGCTATTCTCTCAATGTCACGTTTTATTAGATCTAATAGAGGATACAATCATAATATTCTAATTATTACATAGCATGTGCTTTAAATATCAACATGATAGCTTTATTTTGAAACTATTTTTGGACATTAGGTAGCAGAGAATGTCTTGATTTTTAGTACAATTGCATATGTCAGAAAAGGGAATTGAGATTGATTTTGCTTATTGTTTCTGGAAATGCTATTCATTCAGTCATTTATCATAATTTAGCATCCACATGGATGGCAATAAATGGGTCTTCGGCACTGTTGCTAATACTGAAGTAAGCAAGACCATCACTGCCAACGTTGACTTGAATTCCTGTACAGCTGTTATCACTTTTATCTCCAGAAATGACATCGCAGTAGGTTCCAGCAGGAAGACCAGTCTGCAGATTCGATGACAATTCCCTGTAAAATAAAAGGCAAGCCATTACAATAAAGCAAGAATGTGAAATGTGTTTGGAAAAATATGCATGCATGGTTATCCTAGATGCTTAGATTATGAGTATGTCTGTTCCATAAGTAAAAATCCTTTAAATGGAGAGGCTCCAGAATGAGAAATGTTTCTAATGAATATGGTCAGTCTTCAAACAAACTAAAAAAACCTTATCTATTACCAGAGATGACAGAACTTTTTAGTCAGTGGTGAATGCTTGAAGATGAGGTTTGAATGACAAGAATGGAGACTTCAGAAAATACATACTTAGAGTAGATTATCATTATGATCATTTTTGATGAATGGAAACATTTTAAATCTATGCACCAGTTGCTTCCATTCAGGAAAGACTAGTTACTTTCAATAATTTAAATTTGATCATTTTTAACACTTCCTTGAGGAATAAAAAAATGTTGTGGATTGAAGCCTAAAAAAAAAATCATCTGGTGCTTCAGTGATTGAGTAGCAAAGTCATCCAGTGTCAATGTACTTTCATGTCACTGTGCATAGAAGATATGAATTAGAAAGACAAACAGCCACAACTTTGGACAAGGCTGTACACTTGGTTGACTTTTGTCTTCTGTTATTTCAGTAAGTAGATGGGAGACTAAGTGTTGGAGGTGAAAGACTCAGTTCCAGATCTGGCCGGTTCATTGATACAGGATTGTTAAAGGATCTAAAATGCTAAGGCATAACCACCTGGCCACAAAACCACAAAAGCTTTACATACCATTTGTTAATTATTGCTGCTAACTACTCTCTCTTAACAAGAGATAAGAAGGTAAGTTGGAAGATCTTTTACCTCAGGCTTTATTTCTCAAAGCTTAAATCAGAACTAAGACAGAACTTTCCAACCCTATCTTGGTGTTATCATAACTCTTATACTAACCATTACCATTTCCTTTTTTTTTTTGCCCCTCCCTCTCATTTTGTGTAGTCTAGAACTACTATTCCTATTTTCATTTCTTTTGATTTCCTCCCTCTTCCTCTAATCTAATAAGATAATGTATGTAAAGCTTCACAAACCTGATAGCACTGTTACGTTAGTTATTAAAGTTACTATTGGCATCATGATGATGATGATGGTGCATCCCTACTCCCTCACCATTTGCTACCTGTTCAACAAATCTGTTGCCCTCTTAAAAGCTCAAGAGTGGAATTTACACAAGGGTTTTGGTTCACTTGTCAGCATTGGAAACAGTTTTTCGTTGAGGACAATAAATAGGAACTAGAAGGTTCTTTTGAGGTCATTTAGTTAAACCCACTCATTTGACTGATCAGGAAACTAAGGCTAAGATGTTAAATTAGGTAGCACAGTGGATAGAGAGTGTGACTTGGAGTCAAGAAGACCTGCTTTCAAATTCTGCTTCAGGCATTGACTACTGTGTGTCCCTAGGGGAATCACTTAAATGCCTTCTACCTCAGTTTCCTCATCTGCAAAATGGGAATAATAATAGCAACAACCTTACAAAGTTGTTGTGCAGATCAATAAATTAATATATGCAAAGTGTTTTGTACATAAATCATAATGTGCTACACAAGTCCTAACCATTTGACCAAGGTTACATGGTAACAGAGCCAACATTTCAAAAGCAGGTCCCCTAACTCTAAATTCAATAGGCCTCCTACTATACTGTGCTTCATTTTGGAGTTCAATATTTATTTAGAGGCTTCTTACAATCATGAGCACCTTTTATACCTGTAAAGATATCATGAATCTCTCATACTATTTGCCTCTTCTTCCCTTATCCCTGCTCATCATCACCACCACCACCCCCAACCAAAGTGAAACCTATTAACCAAATTCTACCAAAGTCATGTATATAAAAATTTTCCTTGTATCTGTTGTCTCAAAGAAAATGATGGAGAAAAAAAGGCAGAAATGGTACTTCCAGACCTCAAACTATATTATAAAGTAGTAATCATCAGAACTTTTTGTTACTATATAAAAAATACAGAAGTAGACCAGAGAAACAGAGTAAGTGAATGGGAATGAAGAATAATCTAACTGTAACACAGGGTTCTCCCAGTCAGATAAACTGCTTCACAAAAGATAAATGAGAATTTCTGGGAAAATTGGAACACACTATGGCCAAAAATAAGTTTAGACAAGCAGCTTATACCTATACTACTACAGCTTTCAAAGGATGAATACAAAAGGCAACTTATAAAAGAAAAGACAAAGAATCAGAGAATTTGAGAATTGGGAGGAAGGCCAGTGGTCATTTCAGTACAATTGACGTATGAAAGACATACACACTATAATAATAAATGGAGTTTTTCTTCTAAATGGAAGAGAATGGAAGGAAGTACCTTTCAAATGATGGTTAGGGAGAAAACTTCCAACCAAACAAGAGATAGGGAAGAGCACAAAATTTAAAAAAAAAAATAATTCGATGAAATTGGCAAGCTTTTGCACAAATAAAACCAATGCAACCAAAATAAAAAGAGAAACCATGAATTGGGGGAAAATTGTATACCAGTTATCCCAATAGAAATATGCTATGCTATATGTTTGGGGAATTTTAAACCAAGAGCCATTCCTCAATGGAGAGTAGGCAAAGGATATAAACAAATAGTTCCCAAAGAAGTCTTGCCAATTAAGTAAGGGTTGCTCATAATTACTAATTAAAAGAAAATACAAAATAAAACAATTTTAAGATTTCATTTGAAACCCAAAAATTAGCACAAAGGAAATTAAAACAAGAAAAATTTGATGTTGGAGACAAATATGCTGATACTGTTAGTGGAGCCAGGAATTGTTCTAACCATCCTAGAAAACAATTAGGACTTGTGTGAGAAAAAAAAAAGACAGCATATGCCTGAAGGAGGATAAAAGACCAAAAAGAAAGATTTCGAAAGTGTCAAAATATTCATGGAAGCATTTTTTGTGGTAGTGGAAAACTGAAAACAAAGTGAATTCACATCCATGGGGGAAAAACTGAACAAATTGTGGCATGTGGGTAAAATATAGTACCAAAGGGTCATAAGTCATGACATGTATGAGGAGTTTCAGGAATCATGGGAAACTTACATGAAGAGATACAGAATAAGGAAAACAGAATCATAACCCCAATTATTATAATCATGCAATTGAAAAGAACTCTAAAAGCAAGGCACAGTATGAACAATTTTAATGATCAATCTGGGTCTGGGAAATAAAATACATTTCCCACCTTTATGTAGAGAGATAAGGAAACATTGTATGTGATACTGCATCTATTGTCCAACACATTCACTCTATTGGTCATGGCTGCAGATTATTTTACTTTCTTTTTTTTTCTTTTTTTTCCTTTTTTTTTGTTTGGCAAGGTATTCAGGGTTCAGTGACTTGCCCAGGATCACACAGCTAGTAAGTGTCAGGGGCCAGAGTTGAATTTGACTCCTCCTGACTCTAAGGCTGGTGTTCTGTCCACTGTGCCAACTAGCTACCCCAGCAATTGGTTTTTCTTAACTGTGTATTGTAGTTGTTGTGGTTGTGGTTGTTTTTGATAGAAGAGATGGTTCTACAGGATGGGAATATCAAAAATTATTACAATGTAAAAACAAAAGTCAACAATAAAACTTATATTCGAAAGAAAAATAATTAGTAAGTTTGGATATTTTAAGAATGAATAGAAAACCTTAAACCTGCTAGAAAATATGAGATTTCTTTTGGTAGAGGAAATGGAAGATGGATAGTAATGTCTTCCTTATTACTACTCCCTTTGTGGTTTTCTAATAAATGTGAAGTATATAGAGAGGCTGAAAGAGGGAATTCCTTCAACTTAGAAGTGATCTGACAATGGACTTCACGAAGTCTCGACTTTAGAGAAGTATTTTCTCTCTCCCTTTCATCTTCTCTCCTTTTCTTTCCTCTCACTTTTTACTTGGCTGCATCTATTCTAATCTGTACAGGTATTTTGGGAATATCAAAAAAAGCATCAGGGGTGACAAAATACGGTCAGTCCAGCATGCATTTAATGACATGAAAAAAAATCACTGGTATTTACCAGTCATCGTTGTTAAATACAATGAATCCTTTATTCCTCTGCCAAAAGCCACCTGGTTACTTCCATTACTCCACCAATTTGTGAAATCCTCGCCATTAACCACATTACGGAAAATAACCATATTCCTGTAAACAAAATATACAAAATTTTAATAAATGCATTTGATTGGAGCATTCTGCTCTCTCCCTTTCTCCCCTCTTTGTGATTATGTGTATGTGTGTGTATGGATGTGTGTGTATGTATACACAATTGATTACAGACCAAAAGCCTTGGTGCACTATTAAGATATTCAAGTTTAATACTGTACTAAAAATTTTGGGATACCTGTATATCAGTTGTTGAGAGAATGCTGTCAGGCAGGTACAACTATGCTTTCCTACCTTATCTGACGCCATCGGTGTTCACAAACCCAGTCGTTGCCACAGGTAGTGTCTTCATTGATAGTTACTCTTTTAATCACTCCATTGTCATTGGGTGGTCCGATCCAGTCATTAGTATCCTTAATTTGTCAAAACAGAGACATGAGCATCAGTGATTTCATTTGTTTGGTTCTTCCCTCTCCCTTTTCCTCTTGCTGGATTTGAGTCCTGCTTCTGCTATTTCCTCCTCATGTGAACCTGGACAAATGACTGTGGGCCACAATATCCTCAACTGAAAATCCCATGGCCTATAGTCTCTTCTGGCTCTAAATCTATGATCCTATTCACAGACTGTATCATCTTCTGCCCCAAACTCCAGTAACTCCCTATGCCTCATTGAACAAAATTTAAACTTCTCAGCCTGTTATTCAGAATCTTGACAATCCGAGACCATTATGTCTTTCCAATCTTATCTCTTACTAGTCTCTATCACATATAATCTATGCTTTAGCCAAATTGCACTAATTGCCACCCTTTGAATACTTTCAATACTTTCTGTCTTAGGTGGAGAATTCAATGGTAGTTACTGTACCTAGAATCCATTCCTGTCTCCATCCAATTTTGAAGCTCACTTTAAATGTCACCTCCATCATAAAGCTTTCCCTGGTTCTACCAGTAAGTTACAAACTTTCTTCCACCTCAGATTTCACAAAGAATTCGATTTAGCTCTCTTACTCTTACACTTACTGAGTATAATTTCATTTTATCTGTATTTTCACTGTATCTTCCCCATTGATTGTGAGCTCGATAATGGGAAGATCTATGCCTTATTTAATTTTTGATACTGTTTCATGTCCCTAAAACCCAGCACAGTAGGCATATAGTAAACAAACAGTGCTTATGTATCAATTGATAATTGATTGAGTATACCTTTCCCTAATGCCTCCCCACAGGACTCTTTATATAGTAGGTACTTGCTAAATGGTGAAATTAAAAATACCTCTCCATTCTGAATGTTTCTTGACCACCTGTAGCTTGACATCACTCGTGTAAATCCATAAGGATGAGCAAGCATAAATCCAACTGCCATTTTGTACATTCTGGAAGTGATGAAGTATGGTTAACAAAGAAAAGAAGAAAATTTTAGAGACCGTTGGTAAGATTAAAAATTTAAAAAGGTAGAGGACTCTACCACTTACCTGGAGTCCCAGAAGGTGAGAATGGAAGCTCCTCCAGCTCCATGGCCCCTCTGGTTGTCATGATTATCCACAAAGACAAGTGCCCTGTCTGAACGGACGAAGGACCAACCTTCTCCCCAGTTACTGCACAGAGAAATAAGAAGTGTTTTCCTCATGGCTCACAAGCTCTTCCTGATCGTCTCTCCCTGTCAGATACTCCTTAACATAAATAAACAGAAACCTTTATCCAGAATGCCCATTGTATACTGGAAAGAGAACTGGACTGAGAGCCAGAAGAACTGGGATCCAATCCTGAATTAATCACTTGTTAACAGTTTAAAATTGAATGAGTCACCTCACCATTCTGAGTATTAATTTCCATAACAGTAAAATGAGTTTGACTCCCTAAATCCAGAGTTAAGTTAAAACTCTATTGGTCCCTATATAAGTTAGCTACTTGTATAGTATTTATATCCTCTCTGAGAGACTCTGTAAAGGAAAAGTATATTGTAGAATCTGTATTAAAGCAAGGGTGTCATAGTCAGGCTCCAATACATTATTTTTATATTCCAGTGATTTTTAAATGCTAACATTCATGTGGTTTTAGTACATTATAAAAATAAGCCTTAGGCAAATAGAGTTCCATCCTCTCATGATTGAATTAAAACCTAGTGATTCTTACGGTTCAGAAACTGCATGTTTTCAAATTGACATCTACGTGTAATAAAAATGCTTAATTGATATCAATGCAGAACTATCCCAGTTTACATTGGAAACATATAGATAAATGCATTGAGCAGTAGTCCAAAGTTAACCCCCTTTTTCATTTACCTTAAATAAGTCATCATTTCTCCATCCCACTTGCGAATAACCGTGCCTAGTTTTGCACCATATTTGAATTCCGTAACCCGACCATTGTCAAAGTATTCACTGCTTGTAATTGGCTCGTTACCTAGATCAATTACCTAGTAGAAATCAGGAAAAGGATATGATGATGCATAGAAACTCTCAAAATACTATAGTCATCATATTAGCATTTATATGAACAATTCTAGTACTATATGCTATTAAAATACTCAAATTAATTTTCTCATTTTGAGAAATGACTTGAATTTTTCCATTCTGGAGGAATGTTATTAAAAAGCCTCAAACTATCTAGACAATTTTTATTTTTACCCTGTGAAAATGCTAACCCAATCCAGGACTGCATAACCAGGATTAACCCATAACTGGGCCAGCCTATAGAAAACACATATTTAAGCAAAATCATAATTTTTCACAACAAATCAAATCATTGCATCCATACCCTGTCATTCAACCTCTGTCCCCAGCATTTATACACATTTTATCTTAGTACCTCCTGGTAGATGAATGGTCTGGATCCTGAAGGGAACCAGTTTGTGTTTAAATCGTTCAGTTGATCCAGAATTGCCTTGATGTCTCCAGGCCACATATGTTTGGAAGCATCAATTCTGAATCCTGCCACACCTATGCCAATCAGGTGGTTCAAATATGCGGCAATCATTTGACGCACATAATCATTCTCCTGGGCGAGATCAAGTAGCCCGGACAAACGGCAATCTCTAACCTGTAAAGACAATAATATTATATGTGATGCAGAGGCAGCAGCATCTTTGGGCTCCCAATTTTGAAGTGTTCCTTTTAAACACCTCAGGCACAATGCACTTAAGCATTTTTGGCTAGGGCAATCTTAAAATTGGTTTCCCTTCAGTGTGATATAAAGAAGAGAGCATTGACTCCAGAATCAGAGGACCCTGGATTTAAATCTTGATGGTATGATCTTAGGCAAGTCCCTTATCCTCCCAGGGCCTTAGTTCCTTATTTGTAAAATGAGAAGGTCGGATTATATGGTTGACGTGGCTCCCTCCAGCTCTAGATCTTGTGATCTTATAATTTCATGTTTGTCTAGAGATAGCTTGGTATTGTGGATAGAGTTCTAAGTTTGGAGTCGGGAAGAGCTAAGTTCAAATCCTGATCCTGAAAAAGTCATGTAACTTCTAGGACCTTTAGGGAATTTTGCTGAAAAATAGAGGGCTGCAATTCCTCTAGAAAGTTTCCTCTACTGATAAAGTTCAATTAAATAAGCACTTTCTCTTTCTCTCTCTCTCTCTCTCTCTCTCTCTCTCTCTCTCTCTCTCTCTTCTCTCTCTCTCTCTTTTTCTTTTTGAGGTATTTAATGTTAAGTGACTTGTTCAGGGTCACACAGATAGTAAGTGTCTGAGTCTGCATTTGAACTTAGGTCCTCCTGATTCCAGGGCTGTTACCCAATCTACAGAGCCACTAGCTGCCCCCAGTTGGTATTGCTTTAGAATTTTCTGCCTGTGAGACATTGTGCTACCAATTAAAGATGCACAGACAAAACAGTCCTTAAGGAACTTACATAGTACTGGGGTGAAAGAACACGTGCATATATCGCTGGGGCAGGGCAGTGGGTGTGAAATCACTGAAAACTGGAGGGAACAGGACAGATTTTATATAAAAGATGGTACTTGGGGTAAATCTGGAAGGCAACTAGGAAGCACAACATTGGCAATTCAGAGGGATAGCATTCCACATAAAGGCAAGCATTTGGAAAGAAAATGTCATGTATAAGGTACAGCAAGCAGGTCAGTATGCATGGAACATAGAGTGGGTGAGGGCAAGGAATATGCAACAGTTAGGAATGATACACTGGAGCTAAATTGCAGAGGGCTTTAAATGCCAAAAGAAAGATTTGTATTTGATCCCAAAGGAAATAGGGAGCCATTAAGGTTTCTTAAGCAAGTGAGTGACATGGTCAGACCTGTGATTTAGACATATCAATTTGGCAGCTGTATGGAATATGAATTAAATAGTGGAGAGAGTGGAAGCAAGGGACCATTTAAGAGACTGTTGCAATAGTCCAGCAGAGGAGGACAGTGGTATATATGTACACAATCCATCTAGGAAGCAGAGGATAAGAACATGGGACTGGGTAAGTCAGCTAGTGAAGCCAGGCTGGGGAGAAAAATTGGATTCAGAGAAACCATTCAGGGTTGTTTAATTACCACTAACATTTACCTGATAAATATCATAGTAGCTTTCAATCTCCCCACTGCTGGTCTGACATTTACCATCATTAAAATCCCAGGCAGAATATGGAACACCAGAAAATTCTCTTGTTCCAGGATTGTAGTAACTACCACAGGTGCTACTTGTTCCAGCACTCAAACCACTCCCACACATATGGTTCACTACAGCATCCACGTAAATGTTGACCTGCAAAAGCAAGGTGTTTGAGCTTAACAGATGGGCCATCACCGAAAGGACTTGAACTCAGCTTCTGACTCCACCTTCTGCACTCCATCTAGCTCAGGGTGCTACTTCTCCCCAAGATTTAATGAAGATTTAATGAATGTTAATGCTGTTAGACACTGCCTCTTTCAATTAGTCTATAAATTTGTCTTCCTGGTATTTTATAATTAAGATATGAAACTTTGTTTTTGTCTTTGTCTTTGTTCTCTGGACCTTAAAAAAATCAGGCTGGACCTGAAAATCACTGGTCATTAGTTGCATATAAACAGGGAGAACTATTCCAGAGTGAAGTAAACAGAAAAAAAGAGGAGGATATACAGGATGATTATAATGATACAACAAAAAGAAGACTGAAGCAAAGCTAGATACTCATTAATTGTAATGACCAATATTAGCCTAAATGGGCTCCTACAGGTAGAGTATATGGCATGTGCAATCACAGAAGGCCAGTGGGTCAGATGTTTTTATTTGCTATTTTTTACTTTATTTCATTATAATAAGAGACAGGACTCACTGAAGGGGAAAAAGTCACTGTTTTGCCCCATTCTTGCTCACCCACAAGAATAACAACTTACATCTGTATTAGGCATTACAGTATACAAAGACTATTCATATGTATTGTCTCATTTGATCCTTTCAAACCTCCTATGAAGTGTCCAGGGCAAACAGTACTATTCTTATTTTACAGACAAGGAAAATAAACCCTAGAGAGGATTAATGATCTGCCCAGGGTCATCTGGTTAGAAGAAAGCAGAGTCAGGGCTCAAGAACATTCTTCTCATCATACCATATTGGCTCTCATTAAAGATCCGTATTTAAATATGAGACAGAGTCAACAGGAGCTATATACAACTAAATAAAACTAGTAGGATGATAATAATTATAAAAAGGAAACAATTATATAGCACTTCTCATGTTCCAGACACTGTGCTAAGCACTTTACAATGATTATCTCATGAGATCCTTACAACAAACCTGGGAGGTAGGTATTATTATTAGTCTCATTTTACAGATAAGGAAACTGAGGCAGACAGTGGGTAAGTGACTTGCTCAGGCTCACACAGCTAGTAATTGGCTGAGGACAGATTTTGATTCGGGTTTTCCTGACTCCAGGTCCAGCTGTCTGAGCCACCAGCTGTCAAAGAGTGGCAGATACTACCAAAGTCTTGACAAGACCCCTGACTTCATTTAGAAGCTAGAACCTTGAACATTAAATTAGGCAATGGACCTAACTTAATATATTCTTCTTCCTTCCTTGTATAATATAACAAATACCCCTGCAGGGTACTCTGGAAGACCTAGCATTGAAAATGCAAAGACCAAAACAAACAATCCTAAAGTCAAGGAATGAATATTCTCCTTTTATCAAATGTACTACCTTATTCCACAGAACTATTTCCCAAGAGAACAGATTAAACATATGTTTATTGTCTTTCATTAGAATATGTTTATACCCACATACAACTGATCCATCTATTTTTACTGAACTCACTAGTCAATTGAAATAACCGAAGTACTTCATTAAATCAGTTTGGCTAAACCAACCAAATTGATTACGTGTGCCATGGACACGTCTACTGTTGTGTGTTTGCTGCCCATCTGAGAGTCCCACTCTAACAAGCATCTTTAAAACATTATTACAACCCATTAGGCTGCCTGTCAACATGTTGATTGAGAGAACAAAAGGTTTCAAAGTGGACAGACTTATTAAGGCAGGACCCCTTTGCTGTCTCACCTGTACAAGAAATATAAGCTGATCACCAGAGGTTAGATTACAAATTCTGGTGAATAATACATCATTTGTATACAAAAGCATAATGCATTCATTGGTGTATTGCATGCATTGTGAGAATAGTGAATTAAACATCAAGGACTGATGAGCAACGTGTAGTTTTGTTGGAAACAGGGATAGCCTTTGAAATTATGCATTTTCTCCTAGTTTAATTCGCTTTTTCCTCAGAAAAGCTGAGGTCAACTCCACCACCATCTGCTTTCTTTGACTTACATTCTCTCAGGTACATAAATGAATTCAAAAAGATGATTTAGAAAAGGTGACTTTTAGATAGCTACTAACTTTGAACAGGATGGCACACACATATCTGTGAGTGTGTGTGTGTGTGTGTGTGTGTTTATAAGTAATTGGAAGAGTTACAGGACAGAAAAAAGAGTTGTATGGGATAGGGAGGCATAGATGGGGGTCAAATCTGTTCTATTGGAAGAATTCTCCAATAGCATGAGATCACAGGGACATCAATCAAAGTACCATCACAGCAATCCCAATTTAGATGGAACCAGCATGAGTGAGGCAAGTAAAGTTAACAATGTAATCTCTTCAACCATCAAATAAGGTTTCTTAATCTTTCTATGATCCCATAGGCAGTACAGTGAAACCAATAGACCCCTTCTCTGAATGGCATTTTTCAATAATCAAAAGAAATCTTCAATCTCACTTAGGGTTTAGTGAAAATAAAGTTATAATTACATGACATCTAAGTTCATGAACCCCCTGAAATTTATACATAGACCTTTTGGGGATTTGTGGACCCCTGAATAAGAACCTTTGACTTAAATAACTTGTAATCCACTTACTCCAACATTATTGCATCTCTGGACCATGTCTATGAAATCATCTTCACTTCCAGACCGTGTGCATAGCTTGTAGCTAATTGGCTGGTATCTTTCCCACCAAGGTCTTGAAGGGTTGTTGATCACTGCATTCTCATTTGGAGGTGAGACCTACATTTTGGGAAGGATAAAGGGTTAGTAACATGTGGGTCATATTTTGTGTTATATTTAGAAATGTTTTGAAATCCATTAACAGAATGAGTTATGATATAGCATTAAAATTCAAACAAGGGATCAATGAGTTGCTTTGCTAGAAACCCTTATTTGCATAGCATCATAAGTGTGGTCAAGGTCATTTCACGTACATTAACTTGTAGAATCATGTTTAGAGCTAGAAGTTGACAGAAAGTTCATTCTGTCCAATCTCTTACAGATGAGGAACCTGAGACACAAATCTTTAAGTGACTTGGCCAAGTTTACACAGGTAGTAAGTGACAGAACCAGGATTCGAACTCATATTGTTTAACCCCAGGTCCAGTGCTTTCAGGTTAAGCTAGGGGGTATAGTGGATAGAGCACTGGACCTGAAGTCAGGAAGACTCATCCTCTTGAGTTCAAATCTGGCCTCAGACCCTTACTAGCTCTATTACCCTGGGCAAGTCCCTTAACCTTGTTTGCCTCAGTTTCTCCTCTGTAAAATGAGCTGGAGAAGGAAAAGGCAAACTGTTCCAGTATCTTAAATAAAAAACAACAACAAAAAACCCAAATGGGGCCATGAAGTGTTGGACACAACTAAAAAACAAAACCAGTGATTTTACCTCTGTGCTTGTTCAGATAGGAATTAATAATAGCTAGCGTTTATATAGCACTTAAAAGTTTGCAAATCACTTCACAAATATTAACTCATTTTATTCTTACAACAACCCTAGGAGATAGGTAATAACCAAAGCTTCTACCATTATCCCCCTTTGACAGATGAGGAAACTGAGGCAGAAAGAGGTTAAAGAATTTGCCCATACTCAGATACCTTGTGCCTAAAACTGGATTTGAATTCAGGTCTTCCTGACTCAAGGTGTCAGATTCTACACACTGCACTGCCTAGTTCTTACAACTAGAGGGGTCCCTTGAGATCATCTAGTCAAACTCCTTCATTTTATCCTCTTTTCTTTGGAGTTAGAGGTATAAATTAAAATTATTTATTGTGCCTAGAACAGGAATATCAAACAAATGTTGAAGTGCACATACCTGGACACCACCATAGCCATTGGGAGCTAGGTAACGCTCACATTCGAGAGCAATGTCATCCCAGCGCCATTCAAATAAGTGGACAATCGATGTTCGGCCGTACTTGGTATGGGGATCATACTGTGCCCAGCAGACCCCAAGGACTGAAAGCAACAGCAGGAACTTCATTTTGCTCTGAAGTAGTTAGCCCTCTTTTCACAACTATTTATACTCCTTTAAGAAACAAATTAGCAAATATTAATTTGAATGGATGCCCATTTGGAGCACCGACTTATTTGTATTCTAAGAAAGATTAGAAATAGTGTAAAACTCAACAGGTGAAAATAGTTTGCAAAATTTCCCAGGACCATGACCACAGATAACCTTTAAGGTCTTAGTGGATTTTTTTTTTGTTTGCTTGTTGGTTGGTTGGTTTATTTCTTTGTTTTTTGTGTAGAGAATGTTAGACATATCAGGCACCTGGAACTTTCTGTTTATGCTGACAATACTGATCCAGTTGTTGTTTAATTAGGATCAGACATTATTTCTAAAATCCTTCACTCACAAGCAAAATAACAGTCAATATAAATTGAGAATATTACATATTTATTAAGAAATGGTGAAATCATGATTCTTCCATAGAGACAATAATTCAATTCTGTATTTTTTACAAAAAAAAAATTATTTCACTCTCATTTAATGTTCTTCACTCAAATCTTTCCAGAGTGGAACATACATAAATTGTATGAAAGGATCATATTCTTTCTTATTTCAAATTACTAACACAGATATCTATATAAGTAGTTTCTTTTTTAAATTTCTTGGCACAAACCTTAGAAGCCATCTTTCCATCTAGTTCAATCTGTACATGTAAAGATATTCTTTGTTGTAAGATTTCATGAAAAATTATCTAAAATTTTATCATGTAAGTGGAGAAATTGTTGAACAGATATGAGCAAACAATTCTCAAAAGACAAATTGCAAACTACTATTATCCCCATGAGAGAGTTTTCCTAATCACGAATAAGAGAAACATGAATCAAAATGACTACCATTACATATCACATCGAACAAATGGGCCAAGATGAAAAATGAGGGAAAGAGTCAGTGCTAAAAGAAAGGGCTGCCTAAAGACAGGCACACTAACACACCATTTGATGGAATTGTGAATTGATCCAACGATTCCAAAAAATGGTTCAAAAAAAAAAGGTGACTAGGATATCGATACCCTTTATCCCAGAGATTCCCATTGCTAGAAATACATTAGGAAAGTCAAAGCTCTGGTTTCATGACTTAATAACTATCTGGTCCTAGTCAAGATACCATCTCTCTGATTCTAAGTTTTCTCATCTGTAAATAAGGGAGAATAGTCTACATACCTTACATGATTGTTGGGGGGAAAATCCTTTTTAAGCTAATAGCACTTTAAAAAGGAGTAACTGTAGCAGGATGATCACAATCTTCTCATGTACGGGAATTGATGCTATAATGACAAGATATCCTTGGTGATTGTCTAGCACAATGCTCTTATTTACCAGTAAATGAGGAAATTAAGGAAAATGAGGCCCAGAGTAGTTAAGTGATTTGCCAGAGATCATACCAATAGTAAGTAGCAAACCCAGGATGCAAATCAAAGTTTTCTGACTCCAAATCCAAGGCTTTTTCCACCTTCCCATGTGGCCACCCAAGTTATCTGGGTTTGGCATTGAATGGCTCAAGTTACAGATGCAAGACTTAAGAGAGCAACTTCAGGGAACCAGACTTGTCCAGGGTCACACAGCAAGTGTCTGAGTAAGTCTTCAACTTAGCTGTTCTTGTCTCTAAGAACTGCAAGCTCTGGGGGCAGATAGATGCTAAGGCATTTCAAACCTTTGCATGTATGTACTACACAGTCAGGCTTGCTGTCATATACCTGTAACCCCAATCAATGGGAACCTGAGGATTGGGGATTGCTTGAGTTTGTGGGTTCTGAGCTGCCATAAGGCTAAAACCAATCCAATGCTGTTGGATTAACAAGTTATGAATATGAAGACCTTGACAAATTGCATTCCAGTAAGATGGTTTGGGTGTCCCAGAGAGCTCATTGTAATTGTTTTACTTATAAAATTAGGGTTCTATTTTACCCTTTTCACATTCCAGCCATGCATTTTTTCTTATTCTCTTTCTCTTTTCTCATCATCACTACTGAAAAATAAATTGCTAACATTTGCATAGTGCAAATCGCTTCACAATTATTATCTCATTTGATCCTCCTAATAGTCTTGTGACATAGGTGCTATCATCATCCCCATTTACAGATGAGGAAACTGAGGCAGGCAAAGGTTAAATGACTTGGTCTGGGTCACATAGCTAGTGTCAGAGGTAGAATCTGAACTCAGGTCTTGAAGATCCAAGTGCAACGTTCGATCCATCTCTATTAACTTCACTGCTCCAAATCCCAGCTTCTACACATTTTTTAAAATAGTGTCAACATATTAGGAGACACCCTGTTTTCCAGAGCTAAGGCCCAGCAAGCAAGCAAGCAAGCTGTGCCCTGAGCTTGGCCTAACAACAATCCTTTGTACTCATCTTATAGAAGTGATGCTCCCTGAGCTCCATATCACTAGACAACCTTGCTTCATTGTTGCTGTTGTGCCTAACTACTGTCATTACACTATACTGTTTGACTAATTGGCTAGCCAAAAGAATTCCAGTTAAGGCTCAGCTACACTAAAGTGGGACCACCAACAGGGGAGTGGTCACAGCCTGACTCTGTTACCCCATCATGCTATGTCCTTGATCAAAAGGAGAAGTCCCACCTGGCTAATCCTGAGTCTTCCATTTAACATCTTGTGACTACATGACTGGCTGCCAAATAGGTCTCATCCCTGGAATCAAACGGATGTAAAGGAATTTTCACCTCTGTTATGATACATGACGTTATAACTATGTCGTTCTTTTTTCCTTTTTTAGCAAATTTCTATAATCAAGGAGTTTTGTAAATACAATACTAAATCTATTAAGTAATTGATACTGGAACATCTCTGAGTTACTATAATAGGATACAAGTATGAACATACAATTTCAACCTATATTTGTGGTCAAATACAGGGATGACATCCTCCTAAGGGGAAATGATTAGATAAAGTAATAACAAAAGATATAATTTAAAAGTTGTCTAAATCAATGGAATAGGAAATTTTGACAAAGCAACAGGATTTTGTGATTAGGTTCCAAGTTTATCTATGGTGGAAATTCATGCTTTGAATATATATTTTAGCAATAAATTCTCAAAATTGGATTAAGATTTTAAACATAAATTGCATGGAAAATGGTAAAGAAAGCAAAATTATTTTTTCCATTGTTAAAATATCTGTCTGATAATTTTAAAAGGCAGAAGTGCTGGGAGTGCCTGCGTCCCTGGCTGTGGTCTGATGCTGGCAGAGTATGAACTCAGAAAGAATCATGGGCCAGGTGAGAGCAGTGAAGAACAAACTCTGTTTCTTGATCTGAGGGCTCAGGCTTATAGAGTACTGGATCAAGCAATAGTAACTTTATTATTCATGAAAAGTACAAATGTAATTAAGTGATTTCCTTACTTCCTTGTACCTTGTCTGTTACATTCTTTCCTGCGTCCTGTCCTGTACCCCATCCATTTCCTCCCTTCCTGCATCCTGTTCTCAAGAGACGTAACAGGGGGATAGTGAGCTGACATCCTGAGTTTCAGAGGTGTCAGGCTTAGTACAATCTACAGGTAAGACCCGGGCTGGCCTAAGCCCTTTAACTCCCCAAAGCCGGTCCTCTACACAGAAGAGCTCATTTTATGGCAGTGTGCTAATGAATTTTTAAAAGATTCTTATATCAGATGCAGGATTTAGGTAAGGATAGAAATAGCAAATGGAATATAAAATGAATTTCTCTTTGAATTTTCGCGCCTGGAATGTAAGCCTGCCTCCCAGCTAATGGGATAGGAGGATTTTTCGAGTCCTTTTTGTCCTTGGTGCTGGGGAGAAGTTTCTGCACTTAGACTGGGAGCTCTGAAGCCCAGCCAATGGGAAGAAGAGCCAGTGGGTGGGTGGGCAGGAGGAGGGGGAATTGAGGTTAGGATCTATGTAATCTGCTGAGCTGAGCACACTAGCTCTCTCTTTGGTCGGCGCCATCTTGTGGGTGCTCTGAGGGAGCCTTTCTCCAGAAAGCCAATAAACGAACTATTCTTTTTGCTAATATCTCTGTGTCTCCAATTTATTGGTAAGGGTCTTTGTACCCCACACAGTTATTAATATACTTTCTCTCAGAATTAAGGAGTTAAGCTTAATATGAAAGACCAGCTCAAGAGACAGTGATGCTAAGGAGACAGTGTCTTCCCTTCTTCTTTTCCCTAACCTTTCTCACACATACCCCTTCCCCCCCAGCTAGGTAGTACAGTGGGTACAGTGCTAGACCTGGAGTCAGAAAGACCTGTATCCAAATCCTACCTCAGAAATCTACTACTAACTGTGTGACTCTGGGCAACTCCTTTAACCTCTATCTGCCTCAGTTTCCTTATTAGTAAAATAAGAATGAGAATCGCACTTATTTCCCTGGATTGTTGTGAAAAACCAAGGATATCTGTAAAGTGCTTTGCAAACCTTGAAGTAATACAAATGATTATTACTGAACCTGGGAATTCATCTCCTTTCAGCCTCAGTTTCCTCATTTATAAAATGATATTCAAGGTCTCTTCTAGCTCTAAATCTATGATCATTTAAATTAGAGAGCAAGAAAGATAAGCCAAAAATAGCCCTTGGATACAAGGCCTGTAGGAAGTAGTGATGATGATGCATAAACTTGAGTCTGTAAATCCTAGACACTGTAGCATCAGAAGCACACAGCATGAAAGCATGTGGACATCAAAGGGCTAGCTACCCACATGCCCAAACCAAATTGCTTCATGCAGAGGTATGCTAGGAAGTGGTTAACAACCAGAGTTTCAAAATGCACACAAGACACACATTTAAACTCAATCTCCATTAACATTCTTCTGGTCAGTTTCTGAGTCTAGAAGACAATCAACAAAACAATTGATCAAGCTCTAATTTGTAGAATATGCTGATTCCTTAGGTATAAATGCACATATTGAAAATTTTAACAATAGGCCCCTCCAACACCTCTAGGACATCTCTGAAGTTTTAAGTCTCTCAGTCAATAAATATTTATTAAGCACCTACTAGGTGACAGAAACCATGCTAAACACTGGGAATAGGAAAATAGAAAGACAGCCCCTGCCCTCAAGGAGCTTATCCAATAGAGTAAAAAAAACCCAAAACACAGAAAAGGAAGCTGAAAGGGAGAAGCATAGAGGAAAACAGCAAAGTTGAGAAGGTACCCAACCCAGGGGCATGAAGGAAAAGTCAGCGAAAGCTCAAAATAATGCAGCCAGATGACAAATGAAATTTTCTGAACTGAGCTCCCTTCTTAAACAGAGGTTTTGGAAGGTAGGAGATGCGAGTAGCAGGGCTCATTGGATCTTGCAGAATGATGAGGTTTTCTTAGACAGAAAAGTTGGAAATGGTAGGGTTGGGATCTGGATCCCAGAAAGCAAAAACCCCAGGACTTTTCCACATGGCCAAATCTCCTCAACAGAGTCTATAATCCCATCAACTGGCTTTTCATTGTGGCTACACCCAATCTCCCAATTATCTGTTGCCCTTAACCTAGCCTAGACCTTCATTGTCTTACCTCCTAATGGCCCCTGGCCACTTCCCATCCTTAATCCTAGCTAGACTTCATTCTCCCTTGGCCACTTGGTCCAGGTCCCTGGCATTCTATTACCTCACAGTCCACTCAGGCTACTTGGCCACTCCTAGATCTCTCCCACAGTCTTTCTGTATTTAAGGTCAATCTTATCTCCATTAAGGTACTCAGATTCTTAAAATCTAACCAATACCTCCCCAACATTCAGACTCCTTAAGAGTCTGGCCAATAGGGAGGATGTTCTAATAAACCTTGTCTTTGGCTGAAAGAAGGCTTGGGTCTAATTCTTTAGGGCAGGACCTGCATGTTGTGATTTTAAATGGAGATTTGGAAGTCCATGGCTCCCCCCACTAATCTAGGGGACACAGCTGGTGGCGATAAAGTGATGAGGCATGAACAAACTTATTTGCACAGCTTATTCATGGACACAGCCTAGCTATTTGATGTACTTAGTATTTCAATGGATTTGAAGAAATCCACAGAACTACAGAATCTTAAGAATTCTACAATATTTTGCTTTACTTGCTACAGCCTATAACTAAAACATGGATACCCTCCTACAAAATCTCTTACAAGTGATCATCCATCCCTTGTTTGAATAGTTCCAATCATGAAGCACTAACTTTGAACGCAGCCCATTCTATTTTTTGGACAGTGGTAATTCTCAGGCAATTTTTCTTCCTAATTTACCACCCTTTAACATCTACTTACTGGTCCTAACTCTGTTTTCTAGTACCAAACAAAATAATTTGGCCT